TGTCAGAGAGCTCAGATGCTCTGGTTCTTCCCTCAAACGGCCACCTCTTTGAGCATCCGCTCAGCTCCTACCCAGTCTCATCTTCCAAGTGGTCGGTCGGGTCGGCTTTTCGTGTTCCCGATTCCCTTCGCTTCTCCTCTGAGTCATCTGGTGGGGTCGTACCGGGCCCCCTGAGCATGCCACTACAGCATGGCTTCCCTCAGCCCCCTCGATACCCCCTCATGCTGAGGAATTCATTGAGCCGTGGCCAGGCTGGGCCATTTATGCACAATGATGTGACTCTGTGGAATACCATGACATTGCAGCAGCAGTATCAGCTGCGCTCTCAGTACGTCCCGCCATTCTCAGGCCCCTCAGCCGGGGTGATCCGCAGCTCTCCGCTCCTCACCAGCAGACCCAGTGAGGAGCATCGGATCAGCATCCAGGAGGAGAGCTGCCCAGTCATTGCCAAACAGAGCATGTACGCTGCAGATGAGGAGTACGATGACAGATCTGACTCCTCAGATTCCAGGATCCTCAATACTTCCTCCTAACTCCAGCGGTTTCAAAATAAGCACTGAAATATGGCTTGAAGCGATATGAAAGAGACACTGCTCTTCTAGGAGCGCAATGAAAAGATGTACAGTGCATTACTTGAGGTATTGTATTTCTACCAGATTTGAGGTTGTTGTGCCAACTTAATCATGTGTGGAATAACATTAGCTTTATTTTTTTTAGTTGGAGGAGGGAAGGGGGATCAATAAGGGACTATTGTTTGACCAAAAAGTCTGAATAACATATTTGAGCACAGTGATATGGATTACCACTTTGCATGAAATGTACCATTGATGACAATTTAATGTAGAAATATTTCATCAATCCTGCATGTAAAAGTATGGCAAATAAACCTTCTATGAACTGTTTTGTCAGTGTGTTTATCTGAAATATTTACATGTTTGAAAAATCTATAGAAACAACAACAAACAAACATAAAAAAAATAATAATAAAATATTGGGATTTAACGAAAAGCATCTCTTCAATACAAGAAAAGAAACCCAATAAATTAGCTCTTTACAATAATTATAATAAAAATAAAATTTCAATGAGACAAAATGTTTCTTACATTTCTAGCATATCTGAAACGAACATAATTGACACAAATGCAGCTTTGAGTCCATAACCAGTTCTTTATTATATATTTAAGCAATGCCACAATATTATCAAATGATCCAGCCGTCATAATAAAATCACATTTACCCCTTATTATTATCGAATGGTTTGTTACAACATTTTTTTTTGTTGTTGTGCAGTTTTTTTACAACACATTTGATTTTATCAAAGACAAGAAAAGTAAGCTAACCGCGCCACCTAGTGGACATTCTGAACATCAGCCAATAAAACATAATTGAAAGTCCTGCTTATACAGTATGGTATGTTTTAGGTCGTGAATTCGTAACACATCTAGCCAACATTAAATGAAATTGTTTCAATAAGAATAAGACATGTTCAGAAGAACATACCATCAAACATACATATTTATATTTAATTTTTTATTCCCCGTGCAAAAAAAGACAAACATTACTTTATCATCTCTCAAATGATATTCTTAATATAATCATTAATATAATATAATTTATTATTATTATCCCTTGAATTCAGTGAAAATGCGGTAGCCTACTGTGTGCAGGAATGCCCCACTATGAAAACATCAGTATTGACTCAACACTGTCACCTTGTGATTCACTTTATAATTCGCTTTAGGCCTACACGCAGAAAACAAATTAAGGCTTTAAATGACAAACTGTTCAACTAAGACAAACAGTCTATTAGCTTCTGGGTACCTGTAACTGAGCTATATAAATTATACATTTGACGTGACTTATTCAAAATCCCAGTGTTTATAAACGCGTGTGTGATGCTAAAGCAGCGGTCGCTGCGTCGTGCAGGTGTCGCAGTTGCAGGCTATTTAACACATCTGTTGACTTAACCGAGCGCCAGCTTTTAATGCTGACATTTGAATTTGTGCCTCTAAGTCAACAGGGCCGTGTGTTGTCGTACACATCAACCGGACAGACAAATTATGAGTGGTTAAGCATTCAGCAGGTTGCACGTGTTACCGATCCATCAAGCGTCTTCAAATGCTAATTAACATAACAGGGATTCAGCGCGCTCACAAATCTCCCATCTCTACACTGCGATCGGGTTACACTGCAGCGCGTAACAGACACACCCAGAGGCTTGTCACTGGTCATCGCTTGTAAATAATGATCCCAGAGTCTGAGGGCGTTTTAACTATGATGGACCTGCATTTTCACTGTGACAGAAAGTAACGCATTTGTATAAACTTCTCAACTATGCAGGCTGATACAAACACAATAGCCTCATTTCCTAACAGCAAACACATGCCTATGTAAAATAACAATGCAAATATAAGCCTAGATAAAAGATCCATTCTGTGGAATATAATAGCAACCACTTTCGTGAAATATACGCATAAAGATCGCTATACAATAAAGACGACGGTTTCCTCCATTTGGCATTGTCATATGTGTTTAGAAGAGAGCAGAAGAGAAGATCAAAGCATTCCAAGGGTGGAAATTGCACCCTGGGTAGCAGTTGGATTTGCTGGCCGTAACCTTGCTAATAAATTAAGAGCGAGTAGCAAAGCTGCACCTGCACGGCAAACATCTTCACCACATGTGAGTAACAGAGATGACGGGCCAAGACCAGACCGACAATTAACCAGCACAATCACCCCATAAATACCATCCTGCTTACCTGATCAATGAAGATGTGGTGTCAAATACAAACGGATACACAGGAACTAACTTAAATGAACAGTTTTAAACTATGTTAAACGTTTTTTTTTGTTTGTTTATTCATATTACACTTTAAAATATGCTAGACTGATTCAAACACAGTTTTTTACAAAATATAAACAAGTCAAATTGCTGGCTTATAAATAAAAGTTACCCTAAGAGTTTTCACAAATTTGAATTTACAACCCATCATTTGATATTATTTTATTGCAATACGATATTTCTTTTATTATAACCCTATATAAAATAACTGAAGAACAATTAAAGTAAACCATACATTTAAGATAAATTAAATAGGCTGTGTTTAGATGGTATTTTCTTTCAAAACAAAAGCCATTGAGGGAGGTGACTTTTAATCTGCCGAAGATGCGAGATATTGTTTATTTATATATTTATATAAATGCATTAAATAATACTATTATAGTATTTACACATACATTAATTTAAGCGAGAAACATGTTTGAGAACAGTAAGATACAAAAACGATTGAGGGTAGGTTACTCTTAATGTGCCGATGACGCGAGATAATGTATGAGAACAGAAGGATACAAACAGCAGCCTTTCTATACCTTCATATCTGTTTCACCGGTGGTAATGAAATTGCGCGCGCGTATATATATATATATATATATATATATATATATATATATATATATATATATATATATATATATATATATATATATATATATATATGTATGTATGTGGTTACCCAAATTTTTATATAAAAATATTGTTATAAAACATATAGTGCTAGATTGACACTGAAATGATATTGTAACCAGCATTTTTATAAATTACGCATGTTGGATAACATGGATAATTTTAAAACTACAATTGTACAAACTCCAACCATATTTGTTGTTCTACACCAAGCTTAACTCTCCCACGTCCCGCATGTGCTGCTGTCTATAGAGCAAACCCATCACGAACAGTAGCTGTGGCATTCTTTAGTGTCAGTTGATTTTACTTTGTTTTGAGAAACATCACACATGGTAGGTCGATCGGGACAAAGAGAATTATGTTTTGTGTAGCCTTCCCGCATGCTTAGTCAATGTTTTTTAAGTATCGCTTGTTGTGTCAACTGTCATATCACGCTCAATCTCGAGCTGAAAACAGTGATGCATCCCTGAAGGGTTATGCATTGTCAACAGCAACTCACAAGATATTAATTTGTGTAACAAGAGATCTAGTGTCTTGTTAACAGACAAACTAATTTGTCAAAGTCATTTTAAACCATTCAATTTATAAATAGGTCTTGCAGAACTGCAACTTTTATGTGAAAAAATATGGGACTATAAATAAATTGAACTATCTTAATTAACAAAATTAATGTTATATACATCTAATCGGCGTTTTTAAACGTGATCTCCAAAGGCCGATCTGCACTGTAAACAATTAATAAAACACACTGAAAAGAATAGTTAATATTTATAGATGCATATTCTATTTATATCTCAGAGCAAACAAACAAAAACAAAAAGCACCAGTATGGCAACGCTGTTAGGCGTATTTGAATAAAAATGAAAATCCATCGCCAGTTTTTGCATTCACCAGCTGTAATTTGAATATTGTCAATTAGTGGTTACTTTGGCCACTGCAAGCACATTAACGAACAATTACAACGTACATTGCCAATATGCTTTCTGTAATATAATTAGTAGCCAAAATAAACATCAGACTCTGTTGTCCAAATAGGCTATAATAAAATGCAAAATCGTTTCTTATTTTTTAAGCATCTTCAAAAAGCAAAAGTTTACAGCTTCCTAATATTTTAGTTTGTTCAGTTTTATTGAATTAATATACGCTACTCGATTCAATTTCTAAACTGAATAAAAGTCAACTGTAAAGCTGCCTACAGAAATGAACAACGCATTTAAAAGGTTGAGACATGGGGGTTTGAAACCAGATGCATTAAACAGCTGAACCCCCATTGTGCTCTGTGATTAATTGTTCTGCTTTCTTAGAAATGTTTTATTTGTAACTTAATTCACCCCATTAAGAACTTCGTTCAGAGAGCCGTCCTAATCCAGCCAATAGCAAAGCTTGGTTTTACATCGAGCCAATAGGAACATGCTGTCAAACACCGTCATCTGATAGGCTCGTTGTAAGCGGAGCTTCCCAATTGGCTGCCTGGGGTTTGCTGCGCGGATCTTAGAGTTGAAAGGCTGGGAGAGACTCTCATCACACCGCAGTGACAGATCAGGTTGTCTAAATGTCGCTCACTGATGTATAGGTAAAAGTGGTCTAACTTACCCTGGAGCAGCGCTTCTTATTGGTACAACAGCTCTGGGAAGCAAGAAAGACAAAAACCTCAGGTTTTAGTATTATTGCGACTTGGATATCCACTCATCGTTTGTTTGACTGCTTTGGCGAGGTAAGTGTATCTTAAAATATGCAAGAAACATACTATTTAAATTATACAGTACATTTCAGAGCATATATTTTTTTATTTGTTAACTTAAGGAATTAAATTACTTAAGTACAAATTTACCAGCTACAGTGATTCATTCACAAAAGTTTTTCAATTCACAATTTTTTTTGATTGATGCAAATTTGATTTTACTTTTTAAGTAAAATGACAGCATTTAACTTGACACGTTACATGCAGGAAAACATAGTTTTAAAAAAATAATTATTCGCATTTTTTTGGACAGCATCTTGCTTTACGCGGCCAGAAAATGACGGATCTGTCCGGCACGGAGTTTGAGATCGACGTGGAGGGCCTGGAGACGGAGAGCGATGATCAGGCGGTGTTCACCGGCCCCGGAGAGGACGACACGGGGTCCAAAGACGACGACAAATCTGACCGCTTAAATCTCGGCTCTGGAGACCAGCGCAAACTGAGCCGCACGCCGAAATGCGCCCGATGTAGGAACCACGGCGTTGTGTCTTGTCTAAAGGGGCACAAGAGGTTCTGCCGATGGAGAGACTGTCAGTGCGCAAACTGCCTGCTGGTGGTGGAGAGACAGCGCGTAATGGCTGCACAAGTGGCACTGCGGAGACAGCAAGCGACAGAGGTGAGTGCGCGCTAACTAATGATCCGGCCATTTGTTCCCATCAGTATTAAACTGAGGTAACAGAATATACACTCTTCAAAATAAAGGATAAAAAAAAGAAAGAAAGATTTACAGCGATGCCACTGAGGAATCATTTCTGGATTCAATTTTCAAAGACTGTTTTAAAAATCTTTTCCATCTATAAAGCACCACGAAAATGTTCCATGCATGGAAACAGTGATGCCTATAAAGAACCTTTATTTATAAGAGTGTATAAGCAAAACGCTTTATAAAATAAAACAAAGAGAAGGCAGATTTTTCTGAATGTATCAGCCAGTCAGACATTTCTTCAAGAATATGGTAAAACTAAACAAACCGTTGAATCTGATCCACTAGAGTAAATGTGATTATTTATGATTCAATTTTAGGACAAAAAGGGAATAACTGGGAAGCAAATACCAGTGGAAAGACGAAATATCTATCAGCGACACATCCGCCCATCGACCATGCTGGCAAAAAGCATTTTAGAAGGTGGGTAAAAACAACAACAACAACAACAAAAAAACAAATTCTGTAGCATGCATGAATTCTCAGCTCAAGCTCAAGACTGATCTACCTGATGATATCTTTCACCCTTTTTTCTCTTCTTTTCAAAACTAATTTTACCTCCTCTTTTCTCCTCATCTCTCAGCTTTTCTTGGACTTCTGTCTATTTCAAATTAATTCACTATGGTTCACCTCTGGATATTTTCACGGCGTAAGCTTCTCCTAAATACAGCATGTTCTTTATGATTAAAAATAAAAGCTGCATGATATTATTGATGCTCAAAATTTAATGCATGATTTATACTAAAACATTAGTGGTGTTGTATTGTTAAAAACAAATTCAGAAACTCGTCAGAGTGCCGTAAATGTTATGTGTTGTTCTACATAAATTCAGCCATCGTTTTCATCCACAGGATATCGTCCAGTTCAGAATGACCCTTTCCTGGGTGCCAATCCCGCACTACCCCCTCCTCTGAGCGACCGCATGAGGAAGAGACGGGCCTTTGCTGACAAGGAGCTGGAAACCATCATGTTGGAGCGAGAATACAAAGAACGGGAGCTTCTTGAATCCACCCAGTCCAACTCAGCCTCGCTCTTCATGCCGGGCAGTATGGTCCACGCCGCTGAATACAACTCCTACAAGACGGCCTTCTCATCCGCCTCCGCCCCATCCACCGTCGAACCCTCTCCCAAAGATCTGTGTGGCTTTCTACCCGGCTGTCTAGATCTCTCTCTGCAATATGCTGCCACTGGCGGGACCACAGCAAACGTGGAGCTCATCTCCTCCAACGTCAGCGTAGCCACCACCTACCGCCAGTACCCGCTTTCCCCGCGATTTGTAATGTGGCCGCGGGGCAGCAGCAGTATTAGCGATGCCCTCTTATACCAGCAATGTCTCCTGAACGCTACCGCAGTCCAGAACTTGAAACCTGGAGCGGTTTGGGACCCAAAGATGATGAGCTCCACCGAAAGTCACCCTCCTGAGCAGGATGCACCCGCATCCCGGCTTGAGGGATCTCGAGTGGCTCCAGAGTCATCAGACCTCCAGCCGGGACCCAGAGAGGCTCAGACGGGACTCGGCCACAATGGAGGTGCCCGCTCGGCCTTCTCCCCTCCTAAAAGAACTTACGGACAGGTTTTCTCTCCACAAGCAGGAAGCCACGAGCACGTGATCAACAACATGAGCAAAGACACGGCCAAGCACACACTGTCCATGAAGTTAAACTCCTTCCATTCGCTCATCCAGCAGACGCTCAACGACAAAAATCCAGACACAAACAGGCCCTACTGTAAGGAGCTGCTGGAGGAAGCGGCGAAAAAGTTCAGGGAAGGTACAGCCAAAGACACAGTGGGACTCAAAAGCTCGGAAAGAGCGGCAAAGGACTTTGTAGCAAAGCCGCGGTGCAGCAAGGTCACCGCTGGAGAGTCGCTGTCGTTCTCAGTGGAAGCCATATTAAAAAGACCGGCGCTTTCTTTAAATCGGAAATCTCAGTAAGGCTTCTTGCTAACAACAACAGCAAACCTTAAAAGTAAAATTGTAACTTTGTGCTGATTGTATATTTATTTTCAAATGCATATTTTTTAAGTTTATATAAATACAAGACAGAAAAAGATGATCCTAGGAATAATCAAAAGGGCATATGTGCAGCTTTATGGACACTTCTGTGTGTATATATATATATAAATAAATGTACATAACATTTCAGACATGCATGTTGTACATTAAAATATATGATAATGTGTAGAGTATTTAATTGTAAATGTTAATTTTGCTACATTAAAAATGTCAATAAAATGAAATTTCGAAATAATTTACTGTAAGAAGTCCCGTGTTTTTACCATATTTGTGACCCTGGACCACAAAAGCAGTCAAATGTTGCACTTGTATATTTTTGGCAAGAGTCAAATTCATGGCTTTTTACTTTTTTCATTTTTTTGCCAAAAAAATATTAGAACATTAAGATCATGATAGATGTAGATATTTAATACATTTCCTACAGTAAATATATCAAAACTTTATTTTTGATTAGTAATGCACATTGCTAAGATCTTATTTTGGACAATTTTAAAGGCAAATTTCTCAACATGTATTTGTATGAACCCTCAGACTGCAGATTATCAAATATTTATACCCTATCTCCATCCTATTATTATTCCTTCCCAACCATAAATCAGTGGAAAGTATTTTTATCCTGCTTTAAAATGATGTGTAAATTAAAAAACATACCCTTATGACTGGTTTTGTTGTCCAGGGTCACATTTTGCTATTATGTATTCTTTTTTAACGAATGTGATAATTTTTTATTAAACTAGAAATTTAATTAAGCCAATAATGATGTTAATTATAACATTATATTCATAACATTATGAGGTTACACTACTTTGCAACAACCCATAAACAAACTCTCATTAGAGTATTAGTAGACTGATTGACACTTGAAAAGTTGCTTATAGGAATATAAATATACTAATAGGAATATTAAGCACTGCAGATATTAAGCAGATAATGCGCTAGTTGACGTAGTTACAAAGTTACTTTTATTCAACAGAATGAAAATAGTGGTGTTCGTTATGTACACACAAAGTAATTATTATGATAATTACAATAATTGAGTAATATTAGTATTTAACCTGAACCAGTCACTAAATCAATAATACGCAATCATTATTGTAATAGACAATTCATTTAAGAATTAAATAAATACATACAATTTAAAATGAATGGTTTATTTACTGATACATTTGAGCTCCTTTAAGCTTTTCATTAGTGATCATTTGGAACCTGTCATTCGGATCATTTGGATTGTGTACTTTTTTAGCACAGCGGTGATAACTTTTGTTGTTACATCATTCTCAAGTAAATGTAAAAATATCTGCAGATACTACAACTTAATAAATGCGATTCAAATTCAAAGATAAATTCTGGATACAGAAAACAATATCATTTTTGTAATGATTACACAATTGACCACGGGCCATTAAGTTAATAATGTAACCATGTGTGCATGTGTGTGTGTTTATCTAAAAGGGACAAATGATTGTGTTTACTTATGCCACTTTATGTGCAAATACGAAACACCTGCTCAAGACATTAGTTATGACCGCATCGCACTGTAACACAGATGTCGATGATAGAAACATGAGAGGTCCATAAATTCTAAAATACCTTCAACAATGCATTTTTGATTTAATTTTTTTTACATTTATGCCATTATCCTGGACTATGTGTAAAGCATTCAGAAGATGACAAATTCAAAGAATAAAAGAGATAAAATGAGAAAAAGAAAGTAAACAGATGGTTTGTTACATTAAAGAGATAGTTCACAAAAATACACTAAAATGCTGGATTCCACACAACTGATTTGAAAGAATTAAGTTAACTTGTTAGTTTCTACAAATTTAAGTGGCCTACACATAAAACTATTAAGTTGTCCCTATACAAAAAAACAAAAAACAAAACAAAAAAAAAAGAATTGTGTTGTTTTAGCTCATTTTAAATAAGTAGTTTGAACAAACAGAAAAAAAATATCTGTGTACATGTAAATGGTATTTTTGCTACATAAAAAATGTCAACAAAATGAAATTTTAAAATAAATTACAGTAAGAAGTCTTGTGTTTTTTTTGTTTTTTTTTAACATTTTATTCAAATGTTGCACTTGTATATTTTTGGGAAGAGTCAAATTTTTTGCTTTTTGCTTTTTTTTTGCATAAAGAAAAGATCATGATAGATGTCGTTATTTAGTACATTTCCTACAGTAAATATATCAAAACTTTACCCTCCTCAGCTGGGTGCACAGAAAATATAGGAGCCCTGGTATCCCAGCAGAATTACTATGTAATAGCTGGTCCTTTCCCTGAAAATTATAGCTGTTTGTACTACAATAGACTTTTATTTAGTGCGGTGCCTCTAGCTTAGAAACTATACTTCGCAAAATAACTAGTATAAAGAAAATTGACAATAAAAGTTATATCTAAACCTTCAGGTTTACTCAATCAAAAATAAATAAATAAATAAATAAATAAATAAATAAATAATAACAATGAAATATTTAAATGAATAACATGAATCTAAAATAGGTGTATAAAATATATGTATATGAAACCAAAATAATAAAAAGTGACAGAATTATATAAATACTGACCCACAAATGCAACAAACAGAAAATGGGATTGTTTGAAGATTTACCTGACACTTCTCATAGCATCACCATAGATAAAAATAATAATAAAATAAATAAATAAATAATTAAATAAACAAACTTTCTCTCTTCCCTGAGTGCTTTCTTTATTATTTATGAATCGAATTTGTCAAGGGGCTACACTAAGAACCTAATTTGGACAACTTTAAAGGGAAATTTATCAATATATAATTGTTTGAACCCTCAGATTGCAGAATATCAAATATTTAAAGTGTATCTCCTTCCTAATATTATTCTATCCTAACCAATTTTCTCACTATATTTACTCTCTCTCGAGTGGTTCAAAACCTTTATGAGTGTCTTTCTTCTGTTGAGCACAAAACAAGATTTTCCATAGTAGGAAAAACAAATACTATGAAGCTTTCCAACCCAACATTTTTCTAAATGTCTTCTTTTTGGTGTTGAAAAGGAAACAAATAAAGGTTTGAAACAAGTAAAGAATGACTAAATGATGACAGAATCTTATAGAAATATTTCTTTAAAATAAAATGTTATTCTCCCATCTAAAATAAACCATGTGTGTTATTTTAGCCTATCTAAAAAAATCGAATATGTCCAGACTACACGTGAAATCGTTATTGTAACTAATAAATGTTAACAATACAAGCCTGAGACGTTTTAGTTTAAGCACTTGGATGGAATCATATCTGGCTACAAATGGAGCAGGCAAAAGTCTCTAAGGAAAGACCTCTGCACGATATCTCCTAGAACCAACGAGAAGCTAGCATGAAATTATAGATTGACTACAGCTGTTAGTCAAAATCGCCTTTCTTGGGAAGAATGTTGATCTACAGCCCTCAAGACATCCACAATAGTTAGTATAACCGAAAGGCTGTTCTGCGCTCATCTCTCCGCTTGTTTACTGTAAACGTTTTCTGTCAATACCCTTGCAACCTGGAGAAAATGGTCAGTGGTTCTGCAACAGCAGGAGGAGTGTTTTGAGCGAGCTGATTGTAACAGTAGGACAGTAGATCTGCTGATGCCATCAAGACTGATGAGGCCTGTTCCCATAGTGTCACATTTAGCACATTAGCAAAGTGCCATCACTAGCATTGGCGGCATGTTTGTTCAGTTACTTTTACTAGAGCCTTATGTCAGGCCGAGCGAGCCAGTTTAAACGCTGTCGATTACACATGAGGAAGGCAGGTCAGGATACGCTAACACAGGCTGTGCTAACATTGGCTAGTTTGATAATGCAGTTGATCTGAAACATGCAGTTTTCCTTTTCAGCGCTGATTTGATAAAGAGATCAGATTATCCACAGTAACAGATGACAGACAAAAACATCAGTTATCAAACTGAAAAAAAAAAACTTTCTTTTTCTTTTTTGATCTTTTAACAGTTTTAAAAGAAGCACAATCATCTGCAGTTGAAGTCAGAATTATTAGCCCTCCTGTAATATTAGCCCCCTTTATGTTTTTCTATTTCTAAACAGAATAGTTTTATATACTAATTTCTAATAACTATTTTTTTTTTATCTTTGCCACAATGACAGCACATTATATTTGACTAATACTAGTATTCAGCTTAAAGTGCAGGCTTAACTAATTAGGGAGGTTAGGGTAATTAGGCAAATCATTTCGTCTGTAGACTGGTGGAAAAAAATATTGCTTAAGGGGGCTAAGCAATATTTTAGGGTCAATAATATTGACTATTGGCTTTAAAAATTATAAATTATGCTTTTATTCTAGTCGAAATAAAACAAACAAGACTTTCTCTAGAAGAAACAATAGGAAATACTGCAGTACACAGGAAAAATATATTGCAAAACAAATTCACAGGAGGGATAATATTAATTATAATGATATTGACCTACTGTATATGGGTCAAGTATGAAAAGTGAGGTTGCATGCATCATTTTGTTTTAAGATTGGAATGGGTCCTATTTATGTACACTGTAAAAAATGTCTGTTAATTAAGCAACATAGGCTCATTCTGAAAACGTCTGCATTTCTGGAGATTACAAATTATGCAGCCAAAAATACGTATGGCTGCATTTAGTTTTTAAAACGAACACTAGGGGTGGTATGATGCGGTTTCTTATCTCGCTTGACAGCTGACTGCTTACCTCCATATGGACGGCTTTTTGGCTGTTACCAGTTTGTCCAATGGCTTGCAGCGTACGTCGGTGGACTTGAGACGCAGAGTTGACCGTGATGACAGGGGTTTAGTCCGATGAAAAACGGTTCCAGAAAGCAGTTATAAGACAAAAACAAAAGACAAAAAATTAAACAAACAAGTAAAAAAAACAGTGTGAGAATGTAGTAAAAAAGTAAAAAAATAAAATAAAAAAAAAGTAGTTTTCTTTTGCTGGATTGCTATTAAAACTGTCAATTGGGTTTAGGGAAGTGGGTGGACGGGTCAATTGGTGTTTTTGAAAACACTATTGGTGGGTTTAGGGAAGGAGGGTGGGTCAGTCAGTCAGTCGACAGTGGCCTCTGGTGGATATATGTGAGAACAGCAGGCGCGAATGGCACTCGCGAGAGAAATTTGAGATCTAAAAAAAGGGTACACAGCAGTCTCTGGTGTATTTGTGAAAACAAAAACAGTAAAACAACGTATCTCCCAAGACGTATTTGGTGCTCTCCAGAAATGTATATATGGCTACGTTT